AACAACTGTTTAAATTTACATTGATTAAATTTAATTTGTTCATTGGTGTTTTAATTTCAGCTTTTATTGTTGTTGAGGACTGTAGATTTAAATAAGAGTGAAAATACTTGCCTTCACTTTTGATCTCTTGCTCTTAAAGTATAATAAATAACACTAGATGAAATTATTAGAGGCATTATTCCTTTATTAAGAAATACAGGGAGTAAACTAACTTGCTCAGATTCTGGCTACTTCTATTTTCCTATATATTGCAGTGATTGTTTTTACCTAATGCTCACAATTCCATTGATGGGTAATAGCTATATTAAATAAGTGATTCTATAAACCTATACAGTTTGGTCTGACCCTCTAGTTTTTGTTGATTCATTAGGCAGATACTCGCTGATTGGGTGTAATAGCTTATTCAAAGATCACACTGCTTGTTTAGCGTCACACCTTCACTCTGCTTCTCTGCCAGTCCTGCTTCTGTGTCACCCATCTTCTTCCTAATAAGGCAAGAGCAACAGATGTGAGGCCAAAGGGACAGAACAAGGCAATTGTGTGTCATTTTATTCAACTCAAATTTGACTCTAATCACATTTCTTTTCCCTGGGAAGTGAGTTAGGAGTATTACATATAAATATGAAGAGCATCTTGTTATCGATATTTTTTCATGAGCTTAATCATCTCTATCTCCTAATTCCTTTAGACCCATTGGTATCTGATTCCACTCACCTCCTTGCTGCTCCTGGAACATGCCTTATTCTGTCTAAGAGCCATTGTTCTAGTTCTTCTCTCTTCCTTAGAAAAAAAATACCCCTCAAAACTTTAGATGTACAATTCTATATTAACTATAGTGGTCTCAACCCCAGGTTTCTTGCTCAGTAAATTCTTGCCTGACTAACACCCTCTGTTCTTTTCTTCTTGCATTTCTCACTGCCTGAACTTTCTTTTTGTATATTTAGTTCCTGACTTCTAGGTAGTGTACTCAGAATGTAAATTTTATCATAGCAAACTTTGTATCTATCTTGTTCAATGCCTAGGGCCCTGCTGAGATAAGGGGTAGATAGAACATGCACACCCAATATGTTGCCTAGATTATTTTCTTCAAGGCCAGTCTCAAATTACATGCTTACTAACCATGAAGATGCAGTATATGATGCTTGCAGA